TTTTTTAAATAACAAATATTACTCTAATTTACGCTTCCATAAAAAGTAAGTTTCAGGTTTAAGTGCATTGATCTTAATTCACTCTCACTATTCTTCTAAATCACAAAGCATTCCTCAATTTTACTTTCTTGACCCATTTCATTAAATTTATTTCCAAGTAATAAAATGTTGTAGCTGCAAACCACTGACTTTTCATCACTAGGTCACATGCTTCCATGCCTGTGTATTTTTGCAAAAGGTGTATCCTCTTCCAGGAATGTCCTTCCAGGACTTCTCCAGTGATCAAAATCCTAGTTAGCCTTGAAGTCTAGGTCAAGTGCCACTTCTTCAAAAATGGTGCCTTTGATGGCTTCAGTTGGATATTATTTGTTCCTTTCAATTTCTCTCAACTCTGCCTCAGGTTATAGCTAGTACATGTTTATCTCCATTACTTGACGGCAGAACTCACATTTAATATATTTACACAGCATAAATGCTTTATCATCATCCTCAAAGATATCAAATGTAGCTGGGCGCAGGGGCTCATGCCTGTAATCTCAACAGTTTGGTAGAACAAGGTGGGTGGATCAGATAAGCCCAAGGTTTTGTAACCAGCTTGGGCAACACAGAAAAACCCCATCTCTACAAAAAATACAGAAAACTAGCTAGGCACAGTGACACACGCCTGTAGCTACTCAGGATGCTGAAGTGGGAGGATCACCTAAGCCCAGGAAGTTGAGGCTGCAGTGAGCTGTCATCACATCACCACACTCTAACCTGGGTGACAGACTGAGACCCTGTCTCACCACAAAAAAAAAAAAAAAAATTTAAAAAAGAAGATATCAAATGTTAATATTTTGATAAATATTATAAAAATAACAGTAAATAAGATAAACACTTATTGAAAAGATCAAAATATTCTAGGGCAAGTCTATACTTTTGAACCTAACAGTGTACAAAGCCTTCTAGAAAAACGATAAATGCTTTATTTTTCTGAAGGGCTCCATTAAGTCACCTGTATATTATATTTAAATCTAATGGGAACTCTCAGAAACACAGCCTTTTTGCAAGAACCGCAAAGCTAACTTTGAGAAACCCTTCTAATTGTGGCTGGAATTTCATAATGACCAATAATGAGGTTTAAGAGGATTCTGAAAGTAACTACCACATTAGTGTAAGAATCTCATTTTACCTCACTTGCAACTCTTATTAAACACTATTATTGTACCAACTAAACTACAGAATTTTGTTTCTAGGATTTCCTTTGAGATGAGTAATCACTAACAGGATAAAACTCCCACATCTACTCTGACAGAGTTTAATCAAACCTTCCTGACCACTACAGCTTTTTTCCACTGGTCTATTTCCTTGGAAAGAAATGGTACTGCCCACAGACCCTTTGACCAGGTTTGGCCCATGCTACGTTACTTGCAATCTCTGTGACCCATGCCTTATGAAAGGCCCCTAAACCCACTGTATCCCAGGCCTCATAAATAATTCCCAAATGGGATTATTAAGAGATCTTTTAGTGGTTGGGATAGTTTCAGGACTTATTCAGAACACCGAAAGACTGACTATGTATGTGTGCATGCATGTATGTATGTATCTATCATCTATCTATCTATATTGTCTACCTCAGTACGAAGTTTCTCATTTGTCCCTCAACCCCCTCAGGGCAATATCAGAGTGACCTCCTTGAAGTCTTTAAATATGTGCACAGAACAAAGGCCCTCAACTTAAATACTGTATGTGATATTTTGGAATTCTAGTTTGCTCTCTGGATACAATATTCTGATTAATGAAGTAGGAAACACTAGTAACGTTTTCCAAATACTATCACCTAGAATGGAACTATTCATCAATTTCTGAGTTATTAGCCTCGCCCTTTCTCAAACCACGAACTACAACTGGCCTCCCTTAAAAATGATGTGTGACTGTTTAAGGTGAAATATGTTTATTTGCTTGTTTTAATCTAAGCTATTAAAACGGGAGTTCCCAATCCCCAGGCCAAGGACCAATACCAGTTGGTGGCCCATTAGGAAACAGGCCACACACAGCAGGAGCTGAGTGGCAGGTGAGCCAGTATTACCACCTGAGCTCTATCTACCTCAAGTCAGATCAGTGGCTGCATTAGCTTCTCACAGGAGCAGGAACCCTATAGTGATCTCGGTTAAACACTCCTTGTGAAATAGTTTCATCCTGAAACCATCCCCCCATCCTGTCTGTGGAAAAGCTGTCTTCCATGAAACCAGTCCCTCGTGCCAAAAATGTCGGGAACCACTGTATTAAAAACATTTTGGAAAAATAAAAATTGAGGACTACAGAATCACTGATTTTTAAAAAATATTACATGACAGTTGAGCAATTAGTTGAATTCAAAGATGTTGCCTATTTCAACTATCCATATCTTCAAAACCAGGAAAATCTGGAATACTAATTTGTGTTTCTTTTGTTGAAGCTGGTATTAAAATTTCTAGTAAAGTTGTGTTGCATTATCTCTTTATTTTCACTTATGCGAACTATTCATAAAATGAATGAAAAATGTAAAAAATAAAAATAAAGTATCAGGCCAGGAACTGTGGCTCATGCCTGTAATCCTAGCACTTTGGGAGGCCGAGGCAGGAGGACTCCTTGAACCCAGGAGTTTGAGACCAGCCTGAACAACACAGCAAGATGATTCCATCTCTAAAAAAATAAAATAAAAAGTAAAAAATGAAAAAATAACATGTCCATTAGGCCCAGATGGTAAGCATTCCAGATAGCTCATACATGGGGTCTAGAAACACAATTTTATATATCCTAAGCAGTCTTCCAGAGCAATGTTCTCAATCTGGCTAATCATCAGAGCCAAACTACCGGAGGCTCTAGTTATAAACACAGCTTCCTGGGCCGGGCGTGGTGGCACGCGCCTGTGGTCTCAGCTACTCGGGAGGCTGAGGCGGAAGAATTGCTTGAACACAGGAGACGGAGGTTGCAGTGAGCCGAGACTGCACCACTGCACTCCAGCCTGGCAACAGAGCAAGACTCCGCCTCAAAAACAAACAAAAGAACAAACAAACAAAAACAGCTTCCTGGACAGATACAAATTTCATGGAAGGGCTTAGGTACTCTTCTTTTTACTAAATATCCTGGGGGTTTCTGATGATCAGTCATTAAGAAATATATCCATATAAAGTCCACTCTAAGTAGAATAATTAATTCTTACCCCTAGGATTCCATTTCTCAGCTACTGAACTGGCAAAAACCCAAAGTTTGACAACACTCTCCGATAGCAAGGCTTTGAGAAACACTCATACACTACTAGTGGGAGCGTAAACTAGTACAATTCCCATGGAGAATGAGTTTGCAGTAGCTTACTAAAATTCGAAATTCAGATACTCTCCAACTCTGCAGCATCACTTCAAGACCTGAAGTGTACAAATACGTGTGCACAAAGGAAGCAACATATGTAAAAGTTTATTCAGTGCAGCACTGACTGTAACAGCAAGACTTGAAAGCTATATATGCTGATATTAGAAAAGTTCCAAAATATTATCACTAACCGGAAAAATAAGAGCAAAACGTCGAGCAGTATATAAAATGTTAACGTTTATGTTAAAGGAGACAAATACAGCTTGTATGTTTGCCTGTGTAGATATAATATTCCTGGATGAATACCTAAGAAATTTAAAACAGTTGGCTGCCTGCCGGAAGGAAGGAGACTTGATACTATATACCTTTGCATGCCGCTTAAATTTTGAGACATGTGACCGTTTACCTACTCAAAGACAATATTTACAAAAGACGTTGGCAGCACTTGAAAAAAAATTAATAAATGCTAACGTAACTATTACTAAGTGTAAAAATTATTTTAACGTTGTTTGGGGAGCTTTTCTTTTTTATAATCTCTTGGCATTTAATACCTATAAAAAGTACCCAAATCTGGCAACAGGGAAAATAGCTGTGCCACGCTCACTTTAAGAAACTGTTTAATTAAACAGTACATTTAACTGGCAACCATTAGCAAATTCTTCCCCTTTTATGACTTTTACGTCTTTTCCTATAATGTCCAAAACTAAAAGTTAATGTCTCTCAAGTTAACTTTAGTTTATAATGGAGTGACTAAACAAGCGGGTGTTAAGAGTTTGGTAAACCGAGTGTACTTTCTAAGGAAAGTATGTAATGGAAAAAATAACCGTAAATGTGTACGCAGTTATACAGAATAGATAATCCTAGAAACTGAGCACATTCGAAGACTCCATGACTCAATCATCCCACTTTGATAAAAGTAAAAACTTTCCACACCCATATGCCTTCCCTTTCCCATCATTACAAGGAAATCCCGAGAGGAAAGCTCTGAGTCATCAGATCTCAGGAGTATTTCCTTCTAAACATACCCTACTGGAAACGGTTCTCCCTCAGGTCCAACAGCGCCAGGAAAACGCTCAGCGCGAACCGCCTCTCCCCACCCCCTTCCAAAAAAGTCAACGTTTCGCCCACTGAACACCTCCTTCCTGCTTTCAAATCCAGGACGTTCCGAATAACCCAGAAGGAAGTACAGCCCAAGAAACGCGGGGAGACAGGACGTTCCAAACAACCCAGAAGGAAGCACAGCCCAGGAAACGCGGGGAGACACCGTGGCCAGAGGCTCTTTCTTGACTTGCCTCGAGATCTTTACCGAGAACAACGAGGATCGAGAGACGCTCCCAGGAGGAATCCCAGAGCTGGGGCCGGGGCTGCCCGCGTTCACCCGGCCGTCCCTCCGGGCTCTGCCCACCCCAGCCCCGGCCCCAGCCCGGAGAGGAGCTCGAAACCCGCGGGGCCGCGGCAGGCAGAGCGCGCTGCTCCCGCAAACGTGCCCCGCAGCCAGCACGGCGCAGGGCGGGGCGCGGAGCCCCCCGAGGAGAGGGCGTCGCCGCCGCCTCCCGAAAACGGCCGCGACCAGGACGCTCTCGGTGAAGAGGCCCGGGGACCCTCGCGCCTCTGCCCCGCGTCCCCGCGCCCGGCACCGGCGTCCCTCTTGCCCCCTTTCGGCCTCTCACCTAGCCCACCGGGACTCACTCGCGGTCACCGCCTCCGGTCACTGGCGCGGACTTCGGAGGCCCGAGGGTAGCCGAGCGGCGAGAGCGCGAGGACCGCCCCCGAGGCGCGTCACGAAGCCGCCCCCGCCTTCCGCCCGCGCAGGCGCACGGCCCCGGGTCAGGTGACCCCGTCCCCTAGGCAACGCGGCGGCGGGAGTCGAGGGGCTCGGGCGTGGGGCGTGCCCGCGGCTGCCGGGATCCCGCAAGGGAGGGCCGGGCACTCGCCCGCTGTGCCGACCGGCCGCCGTCCCGCGGTGATGCGCCCCGTCTTCTCCGCTCCTCTGGCGGTTCGTGCCCGCCGGCCCCGTGCCACCCACTCACTACTGTGTGTATCGCAGCTCACGGTCGCTTGGTTCTGGTCCCCTGCAATTCAAACAGGTCTCGGGAGCCCAGGCTCCGTCTTGGGATGCCTTCCACCTCCACCCCTGCTGTCCTAGCCGCCCTCTCCTCCTGGCGGTACCGCGCCGCCGCAGGCTCAGAAACGTTCCTCTCACTCACTGCCCCTTCTCCACTCCTGCCTTATTTTTCTGTTTGAAATTTGGGGGGTCGGAGGGGAGGTGGTTGTTACTTTTTGTCCGCCTGAGCTGATATTCCCTCGCTGTTGAGAGCTGCGCAAAAGTCACTACTGTTTCCCAATACAGAAACATAACGATAATTTCTTGAGGGCTGATGATGTGCCAGCCATAGCTCTACGAACTTGGTATATAGTCTTGTTTGGTTTTCACATCCGTCTATAAAATAAATAAAACATCGGGCCGGGCGCGGTGGCTCACGCCTGTAATCCCAGCACTTTGGGAGGCCGAGGCGGGTGGATCACGAGGTCAAGAGATCGAGACCATCCTGGCCAACATGGTGAAACTCCGTCTCTACTAAAAATACAAAAATTAGCTGGGCATGGTGGTGCGTGCCTGTAATCCCAGCTACTCAGGAGGCTGAGGCAGGAGAATTGTCTGAACCCATGAGGCGGAGGTTGCCGTGAGCTGAGATTGCGCCATTGCACTCCAGCTTGGGTAACAAGAGCGAAACTCTGTCTCAAAATAAAATAAAGTAAAATAAATAAAATAAAATAAATAAATAAATAAATAAAAAATAAATAAAAACATCGCATTACAGACAAAGAAACTGAGGCACAGTTTACCCAAAAATAATCATAGTTGCCATGGGAATACTGTAGAGTGCTTGACAAAATAACATTTACAAGCAGTTTATTTATAGCTAAATTAGTGCCACAATAATACCTGGCAAAACTAATAAAAAATCTGAGGCTAAAAGAGTTGACAACTAAAGATGAAAACTTTACCCTCAGTAAGGTTTTATGTAGTTAGGCTGATGAAAATGGACGTTTAAAAATAATTACAAGGTAGATTTGGAATGAGAAAATAAAACTTTCTGTTTTCAGATGAGATGGTTATCTAACATAGAAAATCCAGGAAAATTGACACCCCTCCCCTCTAAAATAGAATGAAAAGCAATTATAGTAAGGTTGCATGAACAAGTTTAAAACAAGCTGATCCTAAGCCAAAATGCTTGGGACCAGAAATGTTTCCAGTTTTGGATTTTTTTGGCTTTTATGAAATTTGCATTATATAATTACAGCTTTACCATCCCTATTCCAAAAACCAAAATGGTCCAGTGAGCCATTTCCCTTGGTCTTCATGTCAGCAGTCAAAAAGCTTCATATTTTAGAGCAGTTAATATTTTGGATTTCTGGACTAGGAATAGACAATCTGCATACAAAGTCTATTGTTTTCTTATCTACCAGCAAAAAACAATTGGTATTTGAAATTAAAAACACAATAATTACTGACATTAGCACCAAAATAAAATGAAATATTTAGGTATAAATCTAACAAAATATGTTAAAGATTTATACCAGAAAAACTACAGAGTTCTAATGAAAAAAGTCAAAAAAGGTATAAAAAAAAATCTAAAGATATTCCATTTTCATGGATAGGAGCACTTGATATTTAACTGTCAGTTCTGCCCAACTTGATCTATAGATTTGAAACAATCTCAGTCAAAATCCCAGCAAGTTATTTTGTGGATATCAACTGATTCTAAAGTTTATATAGAAAAATCAAAGTCCCAGAAGAGCCAAACCAATACCAAAGGAGAGTAACAAAGTCAGAGGCCTCACAGTACCTTAGTTCAGGCTACTCTAATAAATTGCCGCAGATTGGGTGGCTTAAGCAACAGAAATTTATTTCTCAGATTTCTGAAGTCTGGGAAGCCCAACATCAAGTGGCTGGCAGATCTGGAATCTGGTGAGGGCTCACCTGTGGGTGTGCAGATGGCAGTCTTCCCATCGTATTCCCACATGGCAGAAAACAGAGAGAGAGAGAAAGCAAATTCTCTCCTATCTATTCTTATTAAGGCATTAATTTCATTACGAGTGCTCAACTCTCATGAGCTAATTATCTCCCAAAAACTTTGGGAGTAAATACCATCACATTGGAGATTAGGCCTCAACATGTAAATTTTGGAGGCACACAAACATTCAGTCCATAGACGTACTCAACTTCAAAATTTACTATAAAGCTTTAGTAATCAAGAGAGCGTGACACTGACAAAAGAATACACAAATAGATCAATGGAGCAGAATACAAAGCACAGAACTTGACCCAAACAGATACATTGAACAGATCTTTGACAAAATAGCAAAGGACAGTCTTCCCAATAAATGGTGCTGGAACAACTGGACTTCCACATGTTAAAAAAAAAAAAGAATCTAGACATAGACCTGACACTCTTCACAAAAGTTAACTATAAATGGATCATAGACTTAAATTTAAAAGCAGAACTATAAAACTTCCGGAAGATAACATAGGAAAAAATACAGGTGAACTCGGGTTTGGTAAAAAGATTTTAGCTAAAACAACAACGGCTCAGTCAATAGAAGAAAAAGTTGACAGGTTGGGCTTTACTAAAACAAAAAACTTTTGCTTTGTAAAAGACAATGTCAAGAGAATGAGAAGACAAGCTACAGACTGGGAGAAAATATTTGTAAAAAACACGTCTAATAAAGAATTCAGGCCAAGTGCAGTGGCTCACACCTGTAATCCCAGCGGGTTGGAAGGCTGAAGTGGAAGGACCACCTGAGCCCAGGAGTTTGAAACCAGCCTATGCAACATAGTGAGACCCTGTCTCTAAACAAAAAATAAAATTAGCTGCATGTGGTAGCAGACACCTGCAGTCTCAGCTGCTTGAGAGGCTAAGGTGGGAGGATCACTTGAGCCCAGGAGTTTGAAGCCAGCCTGGACAATTTAGTGGTACTCCATTTATATTTTATTTAAAAACAAAAACAAAAGAATTTGTATTCAAAACGTGCAAAGCAAAGTTAAACCTCAACAATAATAAAACAAGCCAATTAAAAATTGGACAAAAGATCTGAACAGACATTTCACCAAAGAAGATGGACGTGGCAAATAAGTATGTGAAAAGAAGCTCAACATCATGTAACATTAGGGAATTGCAAATTAAAACATCAATGAGATACACTTATTAGAATGGCTAAAATCCAAAACATTGACAATACCAAATGTCAACTAGAGTGACGCTCTCATTCACTGCTGATGGGAATGCAAAATGGTATAGCCACTTTGGAAGAAAATTCGGAAGTTTCTTACAAAGCTAAACGTAGTCTTGCCATATGAACCATGTATCATGTTCCTAGGTATTTACTCAAATTGGTTGAAAACTTTTGTACACGCAAAAGCTATACATGAATATTTAAGGAGACTTTATTCATAATTGCCAAAAATTGGAAACAAACAAGATGTCTTTCAATAAGTTAATGGAGAAACAAACTGTGGTACATCATGCAATTGAATATTATTCAACAATAAAAAAATGAGCTATCAAGCCTTAATAAGACATGGAAAAGTCAGGCACAGTGGGACTCACTTGTAGTCCCAGCTACTAGAGAGGCTGAGGCAGGAGGGTCACTTGAACCTCAGAGTACAAGGCTGCAGTCTGTGAATAGACACTGCGCTCCAGACTGGACAGCATAGTAGTAAAACCTCATTTCTAAATTAAAAACAAACAAACAAACAAACAAAAAAAAACCCAGGAGATTCACAAATGCATTTTTCTAAGTCAAAGAAGCCAGTCTAAAGAGACTACATACTGTATGGTTCCAACATTATGACATTCTGGAAAAGCCAAAATTATAGAGACAGTAAAAAAGATTCATGGTTGCCAGGGGTTTGGGGGAGATGCAGAGGATTAAGTGAAGACAGGGGATTTTTATGGTAGTGGAACTATTGTTTAACACTATAATGATTGATACGCAGTTGTTATAATGATTAACACTATAATGATTAACACTATAATGATTGATACGCAGTTGTTATAATGATTGTTACGCAGTTGTCAAAAACCGTGGGACAGTATGTGGTATAATAAATAAATTACATACTTACATATTTCAGTCTTTGTCTCTGGCTTCTAGTACAGAGATTCAAAAACCCTTGGAATATCCTTGTGTTAGGAATGTCTTTGTTATGTTAATGAGGTAGTTCAAGTCAGGGGAGCGAGGAAGAGGGGCCTTAAAAAGCTTCAGGATGGAGGCTTGTCACAAGAAACACCAAGAATGTGATTAGAGTTAGAACTGTGAAAAGAGTAACATGATTAGATTTGCATTTAAAATGATTACTCGGGTTACTGCTCGGAGAATGAATTGGATGTGGGAATAAGTCTGGGATGTGGGGAGTTGTACTAGGAGACTACTGCAGTTGTCTTAACGTGACAATTACAGTGAAGATGGAAAAAAAATCAAAAATTTTAAAAATGTTAGGATAAAGAATCAGGCAGACCTTGTGGTTGGTGAAATGTGGATTAATTACAGGGACATGTCTAAAATGAGTACCAGGATTCTGGTACTCATACGTGGATGTTGGCACATTTGCTGAGATGGGGTTCACTGAGATGAGCAGATATTGGAGATGAGAAGATTAGAAGATTGTCTTGGAATTTATTAAATTTGGAATGGCCTGTGAGTTACCAGTTGTGCTAGGCTGAATGATGGTCCCCCTAAAGATGTCCACATCCTAATCGGCAAAACTATAAATATGTTACCTTATATAGTAAAAGAGTCTTTGCAGATGTGAT